GGGCTAGACACGACCCTCAAAACTAGATATACCGCGATGAAGATATAGGAGCCAATAAGAAGCCACCACCGGCAACAATACAAACTCCAAAGCTCCATCACCGCAAGGACCGGAAGACACACCAAGGGAACACCTAAGACAAATTCTCACACTCAAGACGCCACAATAAACATTTCACCAGAGGATTTAGCTACAGTCCGAAGGGCTGAAACCGACCGAGAAGATGTTATTTCATCAAGCCTAATCATCCTAGGTGAAACCAAACGTACCAACCAGAAGCATTGCCTTGAAACAAGTCGAACAGGGATGGACAAAGAGATCGAGGCTCCAGATTCATTAGAAACGCTTAATATCCAAGACCCAACTCGAAAGTAATCTGTCCACCTTCACTGGAAATCTCAAAAGCCACAAACCCTCAAAGACAACAACACACTTCCAAGTGATGACGTAGACATTCTCCTCAGCAAATTCCACCATTCTCGGGCAGAAGAAACCGACGAAGGAGAAGCCCAATTACCGGAAGAGACGGGGTGCGGTGGGCTTCCAAAACAAGGTTAGGAAGAAGGCGTAACCTTCATACGACGGAGTAGCGATATCCTGACCAGAAGACGCCGCTCCTCTGCCAATTAAGGCTAGCTCTGTCACCGGAAACGCAAGGGAGGAAACATATCTGTGAATCAAATTCATGCCAATCGAGCTGTGTGAGTCAAGTGTAGGGACTTAGCTGTACTCCGTCGAAGACAATCGCCATCGATAAGCAAGAGCCACGGCGGAGAGGACCAAACACCGAGACGTGGCCGTCACACACAACGCTTCTCCTACCCACTCACCGCGAGAGACGAAGACAAATTAAGAAGATCTGAGAAGGATCAACCACTAACCACTAGAGAACATGATAACAGAAAGAGAAGAAGATTGCCCTTTCACGACGTCAGCTAAAACCGACCACCGGAGAGGCGAGTAGGTGAGAGGCGGAGGCGAGTTTCAGCTAGAGTTAAAAGATAAAATTGTCGCGCGTGATTACACGTGCTCAACTTTGTGTTTTTGTTTGTAAAAATTGATGAAAGTAGAATAAATTTTATGATCAATAAAATTTGGAAATCTATATTTATAAGCTCGGAAAAATATTAATTTTTCATATGCTCCACATCTTTGTACATGATGTATCATATAGAAAAATGAATGTACATAAATTAATATACATATAGAAGTGAAACAAAAGAAAAAGGAGTAATATTTATAAGATTTTGAATAAATAAAGAAAGAAAGATACTGTGCATTGTGAAATCAAGTGCATCACTAAATTGTTCCGCCACAATCCAACTCTTCTTGTCACTTACTAGATTTGAATGGTAATTTAAACTCCAAAATAATTATTCTAGATCACTAATTGATCCATTGTTTTTTCGTTCTCTGTTATTTCAACGAGTCGATCAATTTTGATTTCTCGTCTAGTCGTCTTGTATC